TTTCTTCTCTCTTTGTCTCTCTCTGGTGAGCACACACCCTCTAGAAAAAAGAAGTGTAATGAAAACCTAGAACGCTTGATGGACCATCAGACCATTACATAATGATCTTAATGATTGTTATTTTGAAGGAGGAAATAAAAATTCAGGTATTACAACTATCATAGTATCACCATGATGTTAGCACAGCAAAGATTCAGGCCAGAATCCTCCTGTTTTCTTATATGATATCATAGGTCAACCATATTGTATGCCATAAAGATGTATAACGATTCGATGTAAAAGGCCAGAGGGTGGTCTGGTGGTTGGGGTGGCAGGATCCCCCATGACCAGCTGCATGCTTCAAGTGCGTGCCCAAGATCCCGAGAGGAGAATGGAGGAGAAGGGATTGCAGCGTGACCATCCCCCTGGGGGGGTGATTTCTCGCTTTCTGTTTCTATGCCTCTCTCTGTCTGGCGAGCACACATGCCCTATAGCGAAAACCTCTCAAAAAAAAAAAAAATCCTTTGCAGGGTGGAAGTGGGTGGTCACCAGGTGGCATGGTGGTTAAGGCACTGGACTCCCAAATGGCCAACTGTGGTTTGAATCCCAGACTCAGCGGCTTGAAAATCATGACAGACGTGCGTGCATGTGTGTGTATGTGTGTGTGGTCAGTATCCCAACAGAAGAATGGATTGTGGTGTGGCCATCCCTCGTGGGGTGTGACTTATCCCTCTCTCTCTCTCTGTCCTCACTAGAGAGCACATGTGCCCTATGATAAAAATCTAAAAACAAAAGTCCTTGTGGGAACTATGATGTGGAAATACTGATGTTTCCAATAAGGGGATGTTGGCGAGCAGCACGTATACATTTGACAGCTAACGACTTACACAGCTTTCCAAGCAAAGGCAATGAATTCTCCATGTGCTACTGGAGAATTTACTTAAATAAAATATGCTTATCAAACAAACAAATAACAAAGAAATTATAAATTAAATTTTAAAAAGAGAAAAAGGCAAAAAAAAGAAAAATAGGTCAGGCATTCTAGAATGTAGTGTGATAATCCCTGACCAAAGATTTCCCTGATTTTTAAAAAACTTTATTTATTTCCTCCATGAATGAAACAGAGATAGCTCCCAATAGGGTCCTGATGGTGTAATCTACTCTCAGCTTCAGCTAGTCCTGGGTTATGGGCATGTGTGTGCCCAGTGTACTCAGGGAGGTGTCTAGACTGGAACCTGGAACCTTTCCATGCCAGTCAACTTCTCAGAATCTACTGTGCCACAGTCTGGCCCTTTCCATGATCTTCTGCTGCAAATCCAATGCATCAGCAAAGGTTTGGTCTATATTTAAATGCTGAGATTAAAAAAAGAAGAAGAAGAAGAAAGAAAAAGTATCAGGCTGACCCCATGGCTGGATGGTTAAGGGGGCTGGATCCCACATAAGTGTGCCCCAACTCCTGACAGGAAGGAGGAATAGAGGAGAAGGGATCGTGATTTTACCATGCCCCATTAGAAGGTACTTTCTCTCTCTCCCTCTCTGTGTGTGATAAAGTGCATGCTTATTTTATATCTATATATCTATATCTATGTATCTATATATCTATATCTATATATACACAAATATATACATATTTTATATGTATGTATATATATATATATATATATAAATATATAAATAATCTTTCACCATCCAACATTATTGTTACAAACTTTACTGAAGTAAAATTCTAGAAACCTTTGGTTTGGGATGTTGGTGAGGAATTTCCTCTTGCTCTTCCCATAGGTGAAGTGGGCTCTGGACTTTATCTTTTTTTTTTTTTTTTTTTTTTGAGAGGTTTTTGCTATAGGGCATGTGTGCTCGCCAGACAGACAGAGAGAGACATAGAGACAGAAAGTGAGAAATCACCCCCCAGGGAGGATAGTCACGCCGCAATCCCTTCTCCTCCATTCTCCTCTCGGGATCTTGGGCACGCACGCACACGCACCCGGCGTGAGTTTTAAGCCACCGGGTCCGGGACGTGAACCGCGGTCGACTACGTGGGAGTCCAGCGACATAGCCATTACACTAACTGCTGGTTCCCTGGACTTTATCTTTATGTATTGTCCACATACTCGTATCTCTCAGTGCATCCCCTCAACCTGCCAGAGTTATCCTTTCTAACCCAGGTGGCCCAAGCTTGGGGATCGCCCCCTTGGCCAGGCCTGCACTTCTTTCCTATCTTAATAGAGCAGTGATTGATACCACGGGTCCAGAAGGGAAAAGTTCTCAATTCTCTGAACAGATCAGCTATGTTAAAAGAATAGTTGTTACCAAACAACTTGAGAATAACACAAGTATTATTCTGTATCTTCCACATCATTTAACACAATCTATGTGCTAAGGTTTTATACATAGATTTAAAAAAAAAATTGACAGAGGGCACATGTGCTCTCTGGAGACAGAGAGAGAGAAAGAAACAAGGAGAGTAAGAAAACACCACGCCCGATAGAAAATGGTCATGCTGCAATCCCTTCATTCTCCCTCCTGTTGGGATTTTGGGCCTGCATGCACATGTACTAGAATGTTTTTTATGCCACCAGGTCATGACTGGGACCATGGCCAGTCATGTGGGACCCACCCACCTTAACTACTGTGCCACTACACCACTGGCTGGTCCTATATAGGTATCATTCTTTTCTTTTTCTCTTTTTCCCTTTTTTTCTTTTCCCTTCTTCCCTCTTTTCCTTCCTTTCTTTCCTTCCTTCCTCTCTCTTTTTCTTTTCTCTCTCTCCCTCTCTCTCTTCCTTTCTGCCTTCTAAGAGATTTTTGCTACAGATGTGTGTGCTCACCTGACAGACAGAGACAGGGAGACAAAAAGTGACAAATCAGCCCCTAGGGGAATGGCCGCACGACAATCCCTTCTCTGCCATTCTTCTCTCAGGGGTCTGTGCCCAATGTGAGGGGCTGCCCGGTCCAGGACTTGGACTGTGTTGAACTACATGGGAGTCCAGCAACATAACGATTCCACCATGTGCTGGTCCCAGGAATAGGTATCATTATTACCATCCTCATCTTGCAAATGAGAAGACTGGTTTCGGCAAAGTTGAATGCTGACTACAAAGCTTTTTGTATGCTGTCAAGCTAGTATTTGATCCCAGGCCTGTCTGACTCCAGAGCCTGCATTCTTAACCATTATATTTTAGTGCCCCCTTGCCCTCTGTGACGGCATGAAGGATATCGGATGGGTAACTGGGGTTTAAAACCCGTGTGGGAGCTGCTAGTCTTATTTTATCTCCAGCAATACCTGGAGATGCAAAGGATAAAAGCAACTGATGCAGCTTCACTGCTCACTCGGCAGTTTTGAGAATTACCTGGGCTACAGGTGAAAATGTACACCTTAGACCTTTAGTACCCCGTTAAGAATTGAGTGCTATATGGAGGAGAAGGGATTGCAGCATGGCCATCCCCCCTGGGGGGGTGATTTCTTGCTTTCTGTCTCTCTGTCTCTCTCTGTCTGTCTGGCGAGCGTACACGCCCTATAGCAAAAAACAAACAAAAAAAAAAAACCTCTTCAAAAAAAAAAAAAAAAAAAAAATTAGACGCCAGGGGGGAAAAAAAAAGACTTGAGTGCTGTGGGGGACCAGCAGTTAGCATAACGGCTATGTCGCTGGACTCCCACGTAATCGACCGCGGTTCACGTCCTGAACCCGGTGGCTTAAAACTCACGCCGGGCCCGTGTGCGTGCATGCCCAAGATCCTGAGAGGAGAATGGAGGAGAAGGGATTGCAGCGTGGCCATCCCCCCTGGGGGGTGATTTCTGTCTTTCTGTCTCTCTCTGTCTGGCGAGCATACGCGCCCTATAGCAAAAACCTCTCCAAAAAGAAAAGACTTGAGTGCTGGGAAAGACACATTCATTTATTCAATTAATAAGCAATGTGGTAGGTACTACATACTATATTAGAATAAAAATATGGGAGTGATATATAGGCACAAAAAGTAGAGGACATTGTGACTATCCTCAAAGAGACACACCACTTAAAGAAAAATGATGTTCTGTTTGCGCATGCTTTCAAGCCAAAGAGCTATAGAAAGTGAAGGTGAAGACTGTGGGGTGGTAGTGTGGGGTGGGTTCAGCATCTTAAATAATGGCATAATCTTGGAAGTCCTGAGCTTTTAGTTTTTGTCACCCATAATTTAAATAAAAAAAAAATCAAACCCAAATTTTAATTTAGGGAAGAAGGACTATTTTTGAATTAGAAAGCAAAACGAATGGGAGGTGGGAAGCAACTTTCTGTGAAATATTTTAAATGATCTACTACTGGTAGTTTGTTTTAGCTATTACAAACAACACCTCATTTGATCTCTTTAAAAATTTTTACTTGGCCCAGCCAGGTAATTGCACTGTGGAAACTTCCAGCGCTGTAACTTCTTAAAGGGCCGTGTTTGTACCCGCGCAGCACTCTGGTGGCAATTTAAAAAAACATTTCTTGAATTCCGCTTTCAGTACTGAAAATAGATTTTAATGGACATATACAACAAAACGCCAATTAATTATTAGAGATGAGTGATGACCATGTTCAGAGTGAATTCTCGGGGAATGTTCGCCTTAAGAAATAAGGCCATTTTTTTCCCTTCCTTAGTCACAGCCAGCCAAAATAAAAACAAAGACCAAAAATAAAGAAATGACAGACTAGGAAGTTCGCAAACAGGAGAAGACAACATCCCCTGAAAGCATCGGTCTCAAGCCTGGCATCTCTGCACGGGAGAAGTACATCGGTCTCTCTGAACCGGAGACCTATCTCTGGCTTAAGCGCTCCTCGGTTTCCGAAGGCGTCAGAGGGCTCGGCCCACCGCGGAAGTTCACGCTGGAGAACGGTTTTCCCTCCCGCCGCTTGGCCCGCCAGCTACTGCGGCTCGCCGCGGCAGGGCGGAAGGCGGCCCGCAGTCAGTCCCCTAGGCAACGCCCGTCACTGTGGCGTCGCTGGGAGTGGTAGTTCGCGTGGTCGGGCGGCGCCGGCGCGCAAGCGCAGAGAGCCCAGTGGGAACTACACTTCCCAGGAGCCCTCGGGACAGGGGCTGGCCCGGGCCGGGGGGCGGGGCTCCGACCGGAGGCGGTGATTGTGGCGGCTCATTTGTAAAAGCGGTGGCAACTCCGGCGGTAGTTCGAGTGGACGGAACGGGCAGGGGCTTCCCGGAGTGGTATTTTGTGGGCCAAAGGAACGGAGGAACTGGTGTCCGGGTCCGGAGCGGCCGGCGGCACACCGGCAGGACCCGGCTCCGGGCCTCGAGGCTGGCCTGGCGGCACTCGGAGGACGCGGGGCACGGGTGGCTCAGCACATTAACGCATCTTTGTTGCGGGAGAGCCGGGGCACACTGCCCCTAAGGTGGGTCTGCGTCGGGCTGTGGACCCCCTGTCAGGACCACTCGCTCAGCCCTGTCAAGACTTCTCTTTTGAAACTTTCCGTGGCTTCTAAGGAAATGTTGTATGGGGGAGTGGGGTTGATAAATCGCCTCTCAAACCAACTAGTTACTTTTTTTCCTTTTTTTGGAGAGGTTTTTGCTATAGGGTGGTGTGCGCTCGCCAGAAAGACAGAGAGAGACAGAGAGACAGAAAGCGAGAAA